TCATCGGACATTTATGAGAGAAAGTCTCTAATGTCCGAGTGCAAGTGAATGCAGCACAAGATGCACGTCATGTAACCCCTCCCCCGGTCCTGGCGAGAGCGTGGACATATGATTGGCGGCGATTTCATTTGAACGGGACGGCGCAAAACGAGAAGCATTCGGACCCAAGCACTGAAGGAATGAGGTATTTGCGGTCTACACTGACAGAGAAGAGACTGTCAGTTTGGCTGTACTCAGCATTGAATCAAAACGCACTAAAGCTGTTGATCTTAATACGTTTGTGAGGCGTTTTGCTGAACAACATGGTAATCGCCGCATTCAGCTGTAATAGACATGTCAACTTGATGCTCTGCTCACGGATGAGCATACACAACTATTAAGATGATGACCTTATGTGTGTAAATATATTTTTTTCTTTGAGGGGGTCTGCCCCCAAAAAACTGTTTTAAGTCCTGAGAAAGTCAAATAAGACGGTGTAAAACTACACTGCCCAGCCAAAAAAAAGTAACCACTTTGATTGAACTAGGCCAGTAGGTAAGGACTTTCCACTGGATAATAACTGCAGTATAAAAGAATGCATGACTGAAGTGATGCAGACCATGTTGAAGGCAAACAAAAAGAGGAAATAACAGGTCAAATCAAGCAAATCCCCCTCTCAGATTCCACAGCAACCAGAAGAACATAAATACTGGCTGGTGATTTGATTCATCAGTTTTGTGATGGAATAAAAAATGCACAGTGCATTTCCTTAGCTGTGGGTGAGTCCACTGACACCACTGACAATGCTCAGTTGCTGGTGTTTGTGAGTTGTTATGATGAGGCAAAGGGGGAGTTTGTTGAAGATGTGTTGGGCCTGACGAACCTCAGTGGACACACAAGGGGGGAATACATTTATAAAGCAATAATGGGAATGCTGAATGAAAGAGGGTGCAGCTGCCTTTATTCATAACTGTGCAGCTCTTACACTGCGACTCTGAGGGGTCAAGCACAGACACAATAACAATGAAAACTGCTGCATACAGATTATTTTTGTTTTTGCAACCTCGTGTTAAGAATCTTGTTGCAATTGTTTAAAAGTTTGAATGACCGTAATAAACGGACCTTTGTCTTATTGAAACATTTATTTTGGACCTTTAAGATTTGTATTTGAGTACCCCTGGCCTAGAGGGCCCTGACGGCTCGCCACTGCTTGTAAAAAATAGCACTTTACCCCTGCCTATATGCCGTGAGCTGATTATCGAGCCTTCATTGTAACAGTCGCGGGTGTACTGTGTGTTTGCGTGTGCTTTTGTGCGTGCTCTATAGTGCCCGTAATAGTGTTCACTGGAGTCCAGCACCTCAGCACCGGGTCATTGACGGATAAGACTTTTGAAAGGGCCAATTTTTAAATACAAAAAATAAGGATATATTTGGCCATTGTTCAAACATTTGGAATGTAGTGTACACATACATTTATGCAAAACCGCCAAATTAAGAGATTTTAGTGTTTTTAAAGTTGAATTAGGACATGGCCTTAATAAAAGTCATTTGGGGCGACCGTAATTTATCCCAAAATTAATATATTTCCTTAAGATTACTAATATTTTAACAGGTATCAGTAATTAAATATACATCTTAAGAAAGACAGGCTTGTGTGCCCTTTAATTTTTTGTAAACCATGATTTCACAAGTTTATTCTATAATGGCAGTGTCTCCCTCGTAATGCAGTTACAATACCCATCTTTGCTCTAAAACCCATAAAACTGATTTAAAATGTGTACAGATAGTATCCACTTAAGCATAGTATACCATTGATTAATATTTGATCCAAAACGGATGGATATTCTATTTTTTATTTAGTACCGTTATTGACAATCATTGGTTACCCCGCATGACAGATGGTCGCCCCAAATGATGAGAAAACCGCAGGTAGTTAAGTCTATTTAAAATGTACACAATACAGTTCAGACGAAAGAAAACTGAACAAAGTTTTTATTACAATAAAAAAGAACATTCAAATATTAAACATTAACATAACATTTTAATTCAAAACATTAAACATTTAAAAAGTTAAAGTACAATGCACATTACATGCACTTTGCAGAAACAAACATTTCACAAATTTCTCTCTCTCTCATTTTTTCTAAACAGTATAGAGGAAGACTGCAGGAGAAAAAGAGAGAGATCAGTGAGAGACACACAAATGAATTGTGTGTAATTTGTTGGGGATCAAAATTTGTTTTACAAAAGATTGTGTGATCATGGAGAGTAGCCGGTTCTGTGAACCGCCGACTGCCTGAGGCAAGAAGCTATCCAAGACAACCCCCACCCCCCCAACACACACACACACACACACACACACACACACACACACACACACACACACACACACACACACACACACACACACACACACACACACACACACACACACACACACACACACACACACACACACACACACACACACACACACACACACACACACACACACACACACACACACAAAAGACTTCAAGTCATCCCTAAGCATTGTTTCCTGTCTTCCCTTATCACCATCCACACACATCCCCTACAAAATGACATGAGGTTGATTCATATTTGAGCCAAAACTGATGGATATTCTATTTTGTGTCTATTTAAAATGTACACAATACAGTTCAGACGAAAGAAAACGGAACAAAGTTTTACAATAAAAAAGAACATTCAAATATTAAACATTAACATAACATAAAAACATTAAACATTAAAAAAGTTAAAGTGCAATGCACATTACATGCATCAGGAACGTTGCATGAACTTTGCAGAAACAAACATTTCACAAATGTGTGGACCCTGGTAGTCAAGAATGAACAATTTCAATAATAAAAAGTAAACAGAGTTGAATCAAAGTAAGTATTTAAACCCAGGTATTTCTGAACTTTACCCAGTTTTGGCAAGTCAGCTTTGAGAAGCGTGAGGTTGCTGGCTCAGGCTCTGAGATGGCAGCGTGAATATCTTTCCTAAAGTAGAAAATGACATCTGGAATTTGTGGCCACATGAACAGGTTCTTGTCACCAGACTGCCGCATGCAGCTGAACTGCAGTTCCTCTCCCACAACCTTGAGGACCTGGCCTACATATGGAAGCTCATCGTAGGGTACAATCACAAACTTGCCACACAGATCTAGAACACTTTCTTGTTCCCTAGGTGGCTCAGGAAGAGACCGGGGTTGATTCTCAGTGTGGTGCACGGTGTTTCTCAGGTCTACTGTTACTGGCTTGTAACAAGGGCATGGACTCATCTCTAAGCGCTTGCAGAAGCATGACACCACCCTGTGAGTGATCTGTGCAGGCTGTGAAGACACAACCTGGTATATCTTAAAGGTGCCCTTCACAGCCTGCAAGCTGCCAGGAATCAGCTCGTCGCAGCTTTCGATGCTCTCTCTGCTTACCCAATAGTAAGTGATACTTGAGCCTAATCTTTTGTTCAGCATCTCATACAGATCCTGTGGCGTCTGAAGCTCACCACCTCTGTGAACGTAGAGATCCGCTTCTCTCTTTATTGACCCACCAATCCCATCTGGGGCCCCTTTTCCATGGGATTTTTCAGAGTAATTCCAGGTCACATTTGTGAATCCAGAGAGGAAAGGCACAGTACTGAGGAGGTAAAAGTTGTTTTTATTACGGTACTGTGTAACCGGCCCATCACTCAGAATGTGGAGACTTGTGATCTGTGGGAAGGTTTCCCGAAGCTCTCTCAAAATGGGTTCTAGGTGGGCCCACACTGCCCGTTCGTCATGGCGGAGGCTGTCAGACAATGTTGCGTATGATTTTATTCCATGGACAGTGTATAGGACCGAAGTGTGGATAGTAGCCTGCTGTCTACTGCCTCCAAAATGAAATGCCTGGATCTCTGTGCTCAGCTTGCAGGCATAGTTCTCTGAAAAATCTATGTGCAAAACAGCTTCACACTCTGTAATGTTTAGTTTGAGGAGGCGGAACTGTTCTGCCTGGTGCAGCCAGTTGAATTGGTGTATTGCCAAGGCTTCTAGCTTCTGGGAGAAAAGGTCTATCAATTCCTTGATGGTTCCGGTCTGGGTCTGTTTGACCACGTTAGCAAATGTTTTCTCTCCATTTGTAGATTTGACCCTCTTCCACTGCTCCCAGGTGACTTCTCTGCTATTCTCTGTCTCATGGAACTGTACTACCTCAAAGCAGCACTTGGCACAAATGCGATCCAAACATCCTTTAATTTTTGGGTCACACACTATCATGCCCAGCAGCTCAGAGATGCTCTTTGTTTTCAGAACATCTCTGCTGTAGAGCTTGTGCACATTTTCATGGTCCATGCATGCACATATGTCTCGATCCTTGGTCTTTGGCTTAGTGACATAAAAGGGGCGTCTTCTGGCAAAATGCCTGTAAGATAGGCTAAGACTCTTTTTCATCTCACTGTTGTACAGCGCATGGAGCTCTGTGAGTGGCTTTGTTAGAACTCTTCGTTGTTTTTTCACTTTGTTTTTTGTGATGGTGTCTTTCTTTCCTGCTAAAAGTCGACTGTTCTCATCTCTAGTCAGAAAACTAACAACAGCTAGCTTTCTCTCTGTTGCCAGTTTCTTACCCCCTTTTGGCTTGAACTTTTCACTCAGGGTAGCCCTTTCTTTTGCCCTCGTCTCACTTTTTGTGGCTCTTTCCTTTTCTTTTTTCATCTTTGCTAGTTTTTTCTTCAGATTTATGTTCTGCTTTCTTAGTTTATGGTTCTCAGCCTGCAGTCTTTTACAATGTTTCTCTGCTGATGTATTCTCTCTCTGTCCTCTCTCTGGTGTGGAGGACACCGGTGGATTAAAATCCTCATGAGGTAGGGGATCCACCACAGCTTGACCTGGATTCTCTTGCTGCTCTTGGATTACTTCTACACCAGCTAGAACTGGTGGAGTGTTCTCCATGGTTGGAGGTGTCAGGTCCAACATCGCCTTTTCCATATTTTTCCTTCCCCTGTAACCTCTGGATGCAGCGTTCCACTTGTCTCTGTTTTTTTTTCTCCCTCTCTGAAATCTCATCCGACTTCAAATATGGAATCTTGCCCTGTTGTTTTCTTCTATGGTAGCTGAAACAATAGTGTATAATGTTATACTGATTCTGGTGGGCTAAATCACATACAGATGTAGCGCTCCATTTCAGACGCCTACCCGTGCGGGTCCGTGATCGGCACGGGGTGGGCCCCTGCTGAAAAGGAAAACCCCCCCGCAGGACTTGAAACGCCCCCTTGATAAATACATTTAATTATAATGAAACCAGCTGCAATGGATAATGGATCCACCAGGGGGAGCCGTGATTAAAAAGCTGCCACACTGGAACTCATGTGAAATAAACAGCTGATCTACAGGTATCTGATATAGCGGATATTTGTTAAGATCCATATGTCACGGATAGGATCATATTCTGTGCTAAATAAGAGACATGTAATCATTTACTAAACATCACCATGTTTTTATTTAACAAAATAATGTTTAATTCACGTTGGCGTAAGTACAAAACCATCGCTATGTTTTTAGATCAGGAAATGCATCCAGGCTCAAACAAACGATTTTCAATCATCATCCTCACGATCATTTAATGTACATATGTTCGCGAGTTGAAATGAATGCACTAAATTTAATCCACGTGAGTTTACAACAACAAAAATAATCGCTTTGTTTTTATATCACATCCGACCGGAGGAAAATGCAGCACGGGTCTCACTACCGATCATCCTAATCCCACGGGCAAACAATAATATGTACAGTGTTAATAGTTTACTGTATTATTAGTGTCTAATATTACTGGGGATTTCGGAATGGTACTGGATTTTGATTTATTGTATCGGCTTCATATCGCAATATATTCCCGAAGTCTGAAATGCAAAAATGTCCCACATTAGGGCAATTCACCCTACATTTAATCATTCATACAAAATCATATTTCGTTTCTTTTTAACGAAATAAATGTGGTTTAATCCACATAATTTACTGTGTTAATTGTTTTCTGTAGTATTGTGCACATTACTTTTCGCTGCTTGTTGCACCTGGTTAGAAGCTAAACTGCATTTCGTTGTCTCAGTACCTGCAATATGTGCAATAACAATAAAGTTGAATCTAATCTTGAGCAGGAACAAATGTATTTAGGCTACTTAGTACATATCTGACATAAACGATTAAACACATTTGTGCATTCTTTAAACCGAGTCAAGCCGAGTCCGGAGGTGGCGGCACATTAAAGTGTGCACCTGATTGTTTAACTTGAAGGTGCCTGATGACATTTAATCATTCAAACAAAATCATATTTCGTTTATTTTGAACGAAATAAATGTGGTTTAATCCACATAATTTAGGCCTACTGTGTTAATTGTTTAGTATTGTTTAACTTGAAGGTGCCTGATGTGAACATTTCCAGAAGAACTCTAGCTTGAATGGCCTTTGTATGTATACAGTAGGCCTACACATAGGCGGCGCGTGAGGCTCAGGTTTGGGAAGGCTAAATAACTTTTTTTTTCATTTTACGCTGCCCGCCTCCGGCGTCTATAGAAAAGACATCAACTTAGTGAAAGCACCGCCTGCTGACTGATCAGAGCTCAGTGTGCGGAGTTTAAATCTATCAAGTCATATTACAGGAAAAAGGAAATGCAGTTTAAACTGCCGTATGCAGAGAAGACGCCGACGTGTCGCACTTATCATTCATATCACACTGACATCACATCATCAATCAGATCATCGATCTCACATCGATATCACAATATTTCCTTATCTGAGTCAGCTTCTCTAGCCGTATCTGGCCGTGCAACACTTAGTTACATTGTCACATATACTGTATGCAGACGTATTATTTTAAGCAACACATTAAGTTGACGAAACACTCAACTCAAATGTAATAAAAGTCAGATCCCCTCGTGTTTTAGATGGGGCAGTATCATAAAACTGTTGTACGCTTTCAAACACTCGGTAGTTTATTTTTTAACGAGTTGTTCTGTATTCTCCTTGCAGGTGCAACTATGTGGCTTGTATCCTGGATTATATGTTTAAGTCATCATGGATGTTTAAAGTTCATATTTGTCTAATATTAGTTTACTTTTCATTAATGAAGTATGATGTTGCGCTGTCAGTACACTTGTCCCTGTTTGTGATTGGTCAAATGTAGCTAACCCCGCCCCTTTCACGTGAACAGAGAGAGAAACCCTGGCTTGATTTACGGAGTTGATAACCAGCGCCGTAGGACCGTTTAGCGAGATCGCGTTTGTTAGGGTTAGTTAAGATAACTCAAGCATATCCAGGGTCTGTTGAACTGGCTTCGTGGTACAGGGCACAGGTGGCTGCATAGCAGCGCTAACGTCAAAGACATTATATTTTTATTTTACCAGGATGCAGTTACACAAATATTTGGGAAGGCTTAGCCTTCCCTAGCCTCCAGCACCCGCCGCTCCTGGGCCTACAGTATAGCCCAACCATGTACACCTTCCTTTTTTCCCGTCCAAAGTTTGAATTGGATAAAGGTAATGGTTATCGATGGTGCTTTTATAGCCTATTGTATAATAACTGTGTGATTTATATTGCTTTTCAAATGCATATGGCCACCCATTTACACTGCTCTTCCCGTCAAGAATATGAATAGAACTTAGTTAGATCACTTTACATTTCTGCAAATTAATTTTTAATCACACACGTCTCCCCGTCCCGAAAATGATACATAAAATAAAAAGAGGAAACCATTTTCAAGTTCAGTTTTCAACCTTTTATTTAAAATAACTGACATAACAGACACCATACTGTAGGCCTATCTGCTGCGGAAACCAGGACGAGCTATTTCGGGATCTGTTTTTCGGGGGCTCCTCAGTCTCTCATTTACCCGGCTCCTGATTAGGACACATCCTGGGGATTGTGTTTACAAACATTGACCAGACCGTTCACCAGCCCCCACCCCCCATGTTGCCCATGCTGTCCTGTGTTGCGAACTCTTTGTTTAAAACGAATTGGCCATCGGAATGTGTGGAGGAATTCTCCCAAGGGTCACATTCCACAGCTCTCCCCCCCCCCTCCTCCCCCCCCCACTCCTGTGATCTCCCATCCCCCAGTCTGTAGGTTTTTGTTTTCATATTTCTATCCCGTAATTCATACTGGTCCTCTCACGCACATACATTCTCCTTACAGTATACATACATAGGCTATATGAGTCCGTGTATCTACGGACCATTTGTTTTTCTTTATTAAAAAAGTAAACTGAAGAGCGTCTGAGAGGCGTTTTTGCCCTTTTGCTTGTTACCTTACTAAATGGTCTGATGGTCAGTGGAGCGAGGGGGGAGGCCCGCGAAACTCGCAGAAGTGATTTCAAAACAAAAAGCACTCGTTTGCTTTGAACAAAGAAAACGGCCAAGACACACATTGAGTCCAGAAAATGAATGTTATTAAGGGCTGTAAATATAATAAGCCTGTGTCTAAAATTGACAACAGGCTTATTATATTTACAGCCCTTAAGATACACTTTTGTGTTTAACAGCTAACCACTACCATGACATACTTTGTTTTAGTAGATTTCACATGAGAGCAACATGTATAAATATGAGCATTAAATTATATGAATATGAGAGCAAAATGCATGAATGTGTGAGTGACAATATATGAATGTGTGCATTGAAATATGATAATATGAGAGCAAAATGTATGAATGTGTGAGTATATATACGTGTGTGAGAGTGAAAATGTATGTAAAAGGAGAATATATGTGTAAGAGTGAAAATATGCTGCATTTTGAATGTCCGATAGTCCACCATTTCCACCGGAAATATCAAACATTTCATAAAAGTGAAAAACAATGAACAAGACTTAACGTATTCATCATAATTAATTATATTTATTTCGTTTGGATGTAGGATTTTTTACTTTGTTTAGAGCAGTGATCTTCTACTATATGAACATTTTGGACCCAAAATCACAAAAAAAACGTAAAAACAGATTTTGAAAATGATATTATTTTTCATATGTAACACAAACATACACAACGAAACCATTTAAAAGCTGGAAATATATACATGGGATGTCACTATGATAATGTGAAAGTTTGATTGAGGTAGCATGGGATTTCATTCTGATAAGGCAAAAGTGTTATTATAAATATAATACAAATATATATATATACACATTATGTACAAAAATCAGTTTGTTCTGTCTTTATCTGTGCCACGCTTCAAAGCGGTTTCTGTCAATACGACACAGAGGGCAACATCACAGGTTCTTCCTCCTCCATGTCAAAAAACAAGCTTAAAGCTTGACTCACGTTCAGAGTTCTTTTCATCATAGATGAATCTTCAAAACTCTAAATCTATCAAACTATATCTAAATTCTCAATGTTTGTCTGTCACTTTACTTCAATCGCAGTCTCTCGCCGTCTCTTTTCGTCTCGTTTCGTATCACTCCGTTTACCTGATTACCTCACCCCCTCCCTGGTAAATACATCCTGTTGAGCAGAATCTACAGTTTCCAGTATTTTCCGTTTCGTAAAATGATCAAATACGGTGAAGATATTAAAATATGTGCTTCCATTATTCATACTTCTGAAATATATCTGTATTAACTTTATATCATCGTATGTCCGTGTTTATTGGGTCTTTTTGCATGAAACAAAGACTGGCATATAGTTTCAAGCCAGTACTTTCGACAGAAATACACATATACATCCTGTTGAGCAGAATCTACAGTTTCCAGTATTTTCCGTTTCGTAAAATGATCAAATACGGTGAAGATATTAAAATATGTGCTTCCATTATTCATACTTCTGAAATATATCTGTATTAACTTTATATCATCGTATGTCCGTGTTTATTGGGTCTTTTTTTATGAAACAAAGACTGGCATATAGTTTCAAGCCAGTACTTTCGACAGAAATACACATATACATCCTGTTGAGCAGGATCTACAGTTTCCAGTATTTTCCGTTTCGTAAAATGATAAAATATGGCGAAGATATTCAAATATGTGCTTCCATTTTTCATACTTTTGAAATGTATTAACTTTATATCATCGTCTCTCCGTGTTTACTGGGTCTTTTTGCATGAAACAAAGACTGGGATATAGTTTCAAGCCAGTACTTTCGACAGAAACACACGGTAATGTTATCCGGACTGTTGTTTTTATGCGGCACAGGTCATGTGATCTGATCACGCCGGCGTGACGGTCGACTCCAAAGGGTTAATATTAAATACATATAAGTATTTTTACAACTTGTATTTAGAAATACTCTGTTGTAATTATTGATGCATAAATGTGTTCATCCATTCAATGTGGCATCTGCTATAATGGGGTTAACGTATGATATTACTTAATAATACAATACATTATAATATATGATATGATAATTATATTTTAGTTTTATTCATTTCTTATTTCATAGTTTCTCATTATTATTTTTATCGCTCATCTTATTTTTGATTTTATTCATCTGTGTGAATCTGTGCTGTCCTGTTTTTCACTCTCACCCTGTTGCTGTTTGAACTACTGAATTTCCCCACAGGATTAATAAAGCTCCATCTTATCTTATCTTAATGTATAACTTGATTTACTTCAATCTATTGTACTGTGTAAAACACCCCAACAATATTACAAGAAATATACTGCATAAAGCAAACTATATACTTTATTTGATCTAAAATATTGATGTTTTTTCATTATAGTAGCTTGTGAAAACCATACAGTAACAAATAAGTGATTCAATGCTACAGTATTCAGCAAACACAACTGCAGAGCTGCAAACATTGCAAACAGTTGTCTTTGTGTATTTTGTGAATGAAGCGCCATCTCATGGTTAAATCCTGTAATTGAACAAATGGGGAAATTGGGCAACGCCCTCTAGCAATTTGGCAACACCCCCAGCCACTGGCATCCGCTGGGCTTTTGACTGGGACACACCCATCTGAGTCTGATCTGGAGTGCTTCATCTGTACAAATGTAAATTCAATATATTACATAAAAGGTTATTCCTAATCCTACTAACATGACAGTTTGAAATACACCAGAGAAAGATAATGATAATAATAATAATTCATTTATTTTGTATAGCGCTTTTCAATGACCCAAAGTCACTGACAATAGGCAAAAAAACAAAGAAACAGATAAACATAGATATACTACATGTTACATATAGTTTTTTACCTTTCTCTTTTCCTGGCAAGATAGTCGGCTCTTACTGTAGGGTCTGCATTGACCCGCTGCCTGTAGCAAGCAGTCTTCTCTTTGCTTGTTTTTGCCATCTAGAAAATAGGTTAAACTAGTTAAACATGACTAATACATGTACAATTGACATGGAATGTCATGCTATACAGTTTTTAAATATTTCTCATAAGATTGCACAAAAAACAAAAAATGTACTGAAAATTTGAAGAATATATGTTAAAGTATACAAAGAGTTATGATAAAACTAGGGATGCTCCGATCGCCAATTTCGGGGCCGATCACCGATCGCCGGAATCAGTATCGGCCGATACCGATCGAGTGGGCGGGGCCTAAATGGAAGATTTAAACATCACTTTAAATCTTCCATTTAAAATGATGTTTAAAACTCAGTTAATGGGGCTCATTCACTGGAGCTTCCACAAACAACAATCAACTTAATTATTACATTCAAATGATGTACATTATTCAAGTTTACATTCACTTTGGATAATAACACGGGAGAAATGAGCGGAAGCGCTCTCTTTTCCTCTCTCCCTCTCTCTCTCCCCCCTCTCTCCCTCTCCTGACAGCCTGTCAGTATCTCATGCAACTCACTGATCCAGTAATGAGTGACCCGACAATGAAGAATAAATATATTTATAATAACTAGTTTAGCTTGTTCCAGAGGTAGATAAAATAGCTAAGTGTGTTAGGTCTAACTCTTACGGTACGTCCACACAGCAGCTTTTCAAAAATCTTGAAAATCTTGGAGCTGGGCGTGTCTGAAAGCTTGGGGATTTTTTGCGTGCAACGCGACCAACAACCAATCACAAGAATCTCCCGCCCCCGACATACAAAGCAAAAAACCCCGGGGATTTTTTGCGAGCAATATATATATATATATAAACTCCCCAAACAGGCGAAAACTTACCAGTTTCACCCACTGTCTCTGCCACCTCCCTCCATGCCTGGTTCCTCCGGTTTGTATCCCGTTAATAGTTCTGGTCGTAAAGAACAGGGTGATTTGCTACCGTAATTTCTCGTTTGGAATATGAGGAAATGAACTGCGGTCTGGTTCTCCCTGTCTGTGTGTTTCGCTGCGCTTACCGGTCTGGCGGGCGGAGCTGCAGGATTTCTGCTTCACACACGTTGCATACCGCTATTTTACTGTCTTTTTCGGACACCTTAACATAATGCCAGACCGGTGAAGCCATTTTGGCGAGCTTGTTTTGCCGCACACAGAGAAAAGTGTCATGTATTTTACGTCATGCGATCGGCTCTCGCGATCGGCATGTTTAGAGAGCACCGATCGATCAGTAGAGAGTGAGTATCGGCCGATATCGATCGGTGACCGATCGATCGGAGCATCCCTAGATAAAACAGATAACTTTATGTATATAAAACATGAATACAATATAAATATACAGAAACTACAAATACAGGACATATATCTATCATCTAAAACACTCAGCAGTGGTCGCCCCACATGATACTCGGTCGCCCAGATGATGTTTTCAAGGTCAGTCAAATATGACAGGCTAACCATTAGCTACAGAAACCTAGCTAGCTCTTACCACATGTCACTATCAAATTCATCATCAAAATATAGATTTTCAGATAAAACTAATTATTCACAGTTTTGGGGCGGTCGTCCCACAAGACATCCAAAAGTGGCAAGTACATTACAGCAGTTAAAAAAGAGATTTTTTTGCAAATATGAAAGAGACTTACTAACCTGCCAGTTGTTTCTCTGGGTCCCTCACATGTGACTGGCTAATGCAACATCCTGTCCTTGAGGTGGTTTCAAAATAAAAGTCCCACAATTGTGTTTTCTTGATGGTCGCCCCAGATGATATTTCATAAAATTAACATATGCGGACAACATTCGTTTGTATATTATGATGGAACTATATGTGCAAATGCTTCATAATTTTGTCAATGAATGCAAAACATGTTTGAAATTATGCCAAATAGGGCAAGGGAAATATTTAAATAGATTTAAAGTGATTTTAAGCCGGTTGTCCAAATAGAAGTCAATGCTGGACGGTCGGGTCGCCCCACATGGACCTTTGACACTTCAGATAGCAGAAAAATGACCAATACCTCAAATGTTTGGAGAAGTTAAAGTGGGTATGTATATGGGGAAGGTATTAGAGATACATGTTATATTTTTATTAATTTTAATGTTTTTTTTAAGGTAAAAAATTCAGTTGGACAGAAAAAATAGGTGTCACGTCATTGACCCACGTCCCCACTCAAAATACCTTCCCGCGCCTCTGCACAGGAGGTATGGAAACTAAGAACACCATATGTGGTAAATTGTACAGCTAATATAACACAACACATTAGTTGTATTTCCTTTAACTGGTGGATTATGGATATATAGTTGCTGATTGACAGCTGGAACACAAACCACAAACAAATAATTCAGATCCAGTCGTCATGACTCCACTCCGGAGGGATTCCCCGATCATTTCTTACAGTTTCTCATCAAGGGGGGGTCTCCTGTCCCCGGTACAAACACACTGCCTGATGAAGGCTATGTGTATTGTTTTTGTCATGAACCTTTTTCGGACCACTTATTTATTTATTTTGGTGACGATCCGACCTCCATGCTGCTACTCTGGTTCAAACTGCATCCACCAAACAATATGATTTATCTCCACCTCCCCAAAATAACCAAAATCTGACACGGTGTGAGATGTCTTTTTTAGCTGTTCTGTTGTCATTTCCTGCTATCTTCTTCATATAGTCAGTCAAAATGAATGAATGAATAGGTGTTTCTTTGACTATTTATAGGCAAATATTGTCATGTCTCGGAAACTTATCATGAAAGTCTATTCTTTATATTAGTTTTGTCATGTCCCTTTGTTCTGTGCCCTCTGTCTTATTGTGAATAGTTTTTCCTCCTCTCGTTTCAGAACTCCATGCTCCCCGCCCCTATGTGTCTCCTGTGTTCGTGATTGGTTTCCCCGCCCTGATTGTTTCCACCTGTTCCTCTCACCTTGTGTATATATTGTGTTAGTCCCCACCTGTCCAGTGCCAGTTCGTTTCTTATTCATGACCACGTTCAAGCCTGCTACATGGTCGTATCCTGTTTTCTCATGATCACGATTATTGCATTTAGTTTTTCCTCGGAAGAGTGATTTTGTGTTTCCTGTTGTTGTTACTGTGTTAATTCCATTAAAATCTTTATTTTTGAATACCGTCTGAGTCTGAGTTGTGCATTTGAGTTCATGCCTCTGAGTTCACCCCTTGACAAATATGGGCGTTACGTGAAGCCCGCGAAAGCTGCGCCGCATTTCGAGTTGATTGTGTACGCAAGTCCTGCGCCGGTACGCACTCTTTTATGAATCGGAAAGTGTCGGTGCGCATTTATTTGCTTTGTCCTACGTAAGCAACCTTCCCACGTCAATCCTACGCAAGGCTTTATAAATGAGGCCCCAGGTGATGTAAGGAACTCTGAGTGATTGGATAGTTAACTTTAGTCTAAGTTATCTCAGTGAGTCTCACATTGTTTTTTTTATTTTATTTTTATCCTTTATTTATCCAGGAATGTCCCATTGAGATACAATATCTCTTCTTCCAGGGAGTCCTGACCAACACGGCACACAACAAGTTTCAACATAAAACAAGGGCATTAAACAAAAAATATACAATTCAAATATAAATACAGAAGGCCATTTGTGCAGTGGCAAGAAGCATAATCACATCAGCAATAGCATCAGGTAAAACAGTTACATGTTTCATGAAGGGCTAATCGTAGCATACCTTTAAAAGCATTTACGCAAGCCTCTCTCTCCTTGACGTAAGTGTAAAGCGGGATTTACTAACCCCCCCTCGATTCTATTGGCTCCAAAGTTTCAAAAAAGGTGTCAATCACCCAAATTGACCTATGGGTTCTAGAGATAGGATCCTGCGTAGTATGAATAATGCCAGCAGCGGCTGCTTTACGCACAGACGTAGCAGAAGCAGCCGCACAACCGCTCCAGCACAGCAGCAACGAACACAGCGAAGCGACAACACAGCGAACAGAGACAACAGCAGGAAACTCTGATTAGGAACTTCAGGAAAGGTATGTACTCTCTCTGTTTGTATCTATTAGTTGTGTATTTGGTGTAATCTATAGTAATTCCACACTCGCAAAATACAAAATGGACGCCGCTTTGTTGTTGTAGCGTTATCGTTCCGTGAGAAACTAAAACAATGGCAACATCATGTTGGTGAATGTATAAATAGATTAATTGTATTTCGTGACTATAACACGGCAGTATATAAATAAAGCTGTATTGTATATCAACCCAGTATATATATATATATATACTGTTATTCCACACACGCCAAATGGATGCTGTTTTGTAGTTCTACAGACATTGACTATTAGCAGATTATAAATAAAGCTGTATTGTATATCAGTCTATATATATATATATATATATATATATATATATATATATATATATATATATATATACTGTTATTTCACACACGCTAAATGGAGGAATTATTTCTGATTTGAGTTACATTTTTGAAAGAATAATCCAGTGAAGTAATCAAAGTAATTGTTTTTTCCACATTTGTTTTCACAGTGATGAAGACAAGTATTAAATGGCTTCTGGATCACAGCCATCAACATCTGCCTCATCCGAGCTACGACGTGCATCAGATCAGCATACAGTTGCCCCAGAGCCATCAACATCCAAGCTACGCCGCTGGACGTCTGCACCAGTACTAACTCAGCCTCCCTCTGCATCTTCTGATTCAGTGGACAGACTGTCAGGAGGAAAGTGAAACGGGCTGGTGTGTGGAAGACTAAGGTTGTTACCGTTGCTGACGCTGTGGTGGACTACAACACAAGCATGGGCTGCGTGGATATGTCCGATGCTTTGATTGGGTACTACAGTGTTCACCACAAAACCATGAAATGGTACAAGACCTTTTTTTTTAACATTTTCTGGACATTGCAGTGGTGAACAGCTTCCTTCTCCACAAGGAGCTGCACAAGATGAGGGGTGACCCCGGCAGGACGAAGCCACACACCCAGAAGTCCTTCAGGGAGCAGCTTGCTGCAGACATGAGGGGTGAAGTCCCTGCAGCAGCAGCAGCACCACCACCACCACTCCCCTAAACACATTCAGGTTGTGTACATTTTTTCTTTTTTGCCAGTATTTACAAAAAAAATGCTCGTGGTGTTATTTCGGTTTTAGTGTAGTTTTTTTGTGTTATTTTTGAAATAAATCTGCTCAAGACAAGAGACACGTGTATCCTATGTTTCCTAATTGTTATTGTGTAAGTAAACCTTCCTAGAAGTGTTAGTCGGGTGATAAACATGTAAGGGCTGTGGCAAAGTCCACACACACACACCATTTACATACAAAAAAAATGTAATTTAAAAATATATATATATATTTTTTAAAACACTTGTATTTGGATGGAATGATTACCTGTAGTGATAATAAAATTATTTTTACAGTATGGTACCTGAAAAAGGTCAAATGGCACTGATGGTATCCAAATGTGCCCAAATGTGCCCAAAGGTCAGTCCGCCTGGACTACTTTTAGCTAAACCTCTCTAAAAAGGTCAAATTTAACTTGTTTTGCCTCAATCTTGATACAGGGTACTTATTATATGTTATACTTTGGATTCCTAAAGCTGTTAGTCTACTATCCCATCATTCAAGGGTAGTTTTCACTGTAAGTAATGTTTTTTTTTTAGGCGGGGGTAAGAATTTACCTTTTTTTACTATGTTCCATCTGAATTTACTCTGACTGAGAAATATCTATATTGATTCTGACACTTCTACATCCAACTCACAGATGTAACCTTGCTTTGATAAAATAAATTATTCATATAACCCTTTTAGAAGTTAAGTTATAGTCATTTGTTTTGGGCATAGCATTTTCGAGCCTGAAACCTTAAAAACAGGCTCAGGGCTTAAGAGGTTAAGGACCAGTCTTAGCCTTAGCAAGGAGTGTTGCAGTGTATTAAAAGCATCCTGTAGAAGCTCTATGGCCTGAGTTAAAGAGGAAGCCACTGTGTAAACAACTGTATCATCGGCGTATAAATGAAACCATGCTGGGTTTATCCCATTTCCTAGTTCATTTATAAAGATGGAGAATAAGACAGGGGCCAACATAGAACCTTGTGGAACACCTTTGTTTACAGCAGTGGTTCTCAAACTTTTTCTGTCGGGCCCCCCCTTTGGAGAAAACAAAATCCCGGGCCCCCCCAACACAAATAGTCACTTAATGGTCCAGGTTAACATTTATTAAAATACAACAATATGAACGTGAGCATTCCTTTCAAAACAATAAAAAAATCACTTTGCTAGAACAGTGATAATAAAACAATGCTCTGTGTTGTCAAAACAACATAATACAATTGTGAACAATAAATTATAATAGTTTGCCACTTTGCAATCTGTTCAAAACAATGAAAAGAAAGACGGATATTTGGCAAAAAAGTGTGTCTTATCACAGCATTAGTGGCTGCAATGAGCCTGTTTTGCACTGCACATTTTTTGAAAACGTGGTTGCAGGCTTGATACTGCCACTCTCAAGTCATGCTCAATGTTGAGCTTTGATCTGTACTTCGTTTTCAGAGAAGCAACAGCTGAAAAGCCAATCTCACAGAGATAGGATGTAGCGAAGGGGAGAAGGATGCCCACAGCCCTCTGCCCTATGAGTGGATGCTCCTTCTCCACACCAAACCAGAATTCAGTCAGTGTCTGAGCTCTAAACCTCAGCCTTAGGGTGGAGTCAG